AYTGAAGATAAATCTATGAAAGTGAACATTGGTTTAAAATTTGGCAAGTCAGAGATGTCAAAATRTTTGTGTGAAATAGGAGACATAATGTGTTATTTTTTGTTTTTCACATTGTTTTATTGTCACTAGGATTCTGTATGTTGTGATCATGATTAAATGCAGCAAAATAAACTATTTCAAATGTAACAGATCTTTGTAATATTTTTACATAATGACTTTAATTGCTGGATGTTTGGCCCCTGTGCTGTTGACCTGCAGTAACTGCAGTCTCTGGAGCAATTTAGTTGAATAGCCCTGCTGTATRCTATAGTCCAAATCCTCTAAAATTAAGTGAAATCTGCCAGTACAGCAAGAAAATTACACTTGATAAGACTTATGATAAGAAAAAAATGTCCAGGCTTACAAGACTAACAATCTAACACTATCAGTATTAAAACAAGATCAAACTACTTTTGGCTGGATTGTGAGATTGTAAAACTTGATCAGATGGACAGATTTTGTAATGAAGGTTAAAACCAAACTCCTCGCTTTAGCAGTTTCATCCATTTTTAATAAACTCAGTGCTTTAATGCACAAACATGGCTTAAAAAAGTCAAGTAAGTTAGTAGTTTCAAAAAGACAAAACACGTAGTTTTGTACTTGTTCAAGTACCAACCATAAGGTTAAATTAATCAGGGTGTTTTTTTAAATACAGTTTTTGCCCCAGCTGTGACCCACCAGTTGAGAATCCCTTCAGTAATCACATCAAAGTGATTACCCCTCAAATATCAGATGGACATCTTTTATCTGTTYCATTCTAGACTTTAAAATAACTTTAACTGTTTGGACTTAGTGGAAAAAGTGCTATTAATTGAATTACGATCTAATCTGGAGCGCTTTCAATGAGATCATGAGTGGGTTGATTGAAATGGTATTCACCTCAATTATGTTGGTATGGGAGCTAAAATGGGTCAACTTAAAAGTTTAGTTTTTTTTAAGGATGTTTCTAATCAGTGGCAGTGTGAGTCAGGAGGTATTTATTCTGTCAATTTGTTGCTACTTCATGAAATCCTGCTGGAAAAYGAAAAAATACCTCCAGTTTTACTTTTTWAAAAATCATTCTGACATTCTGTAATACGTTGTGAAAAAAAGTTTAAACCACTATTAATTTCTGTCCTTTTCCTTTCGAGAGGACAAAAATCTGTTCTGTCCAGTTTCTGTACTTTACCAGCACAGCTTATTGTGCAATGTGGGCTTAAAATGAGGGAAATGGAGAACAAAAGAGGAACTTCCAGGCATAAAATCTATCTGCAGCAGATAAAAAGGGTGTGAAAGTCATGCCTTTTAGCAAAGAAAACAAAAAAATCTGACACTTCGTCTGACAAATGCATCATCTATCAGCTAATCATCTGTCAGTTTTCACCTGTTTCTTGTTTTTATGCCAGAATTCAAAATGGTCTGACATCCTGAAAGTGAGCGGAAAAACTTTGAACCTTCAGAAAGACTAAAACAAATTCACTTAGAACTAAAAAGATGACAAAGGTTCATTAAAACTTTTAAAAGCAACATCTAAAGCAGAGGTTCTCAAACCGGGGTCCCAGGACCCTCAGAGGTCCGTGAAAGGCATCCTGGGGGTCCCCAAAAAATTCCACTAAATTTTTTATTTGGTTTTTATTTTTAAAAATGCATGAAGAACAATGAACTAATAAAACAAACATAAAAAAACTAATAAAAATATATTCCCATGGCATTTAGGGGTTGAAATGACAATAAATTATCTTTTAAAAGTGCAATGAGGGTGGTCCCTGGAATGTTTTTTGCCATTGTAAGGGGTTCCCCGACCCAAAAGGTTTGAGAAGCCCTGATCTAAAGAACCGAAGGACGACTCAAACAGCAGTGCTGCATAGTCAGGCTTTTTTACAAAGATCACTACTAAATAATTAATTACGGTAATCATCTTCTCTTTTCATACAGGTTACACCAACAATGACTGTTTATCTACAGTTCATTRTAAGAATTTACAAAAAGCAAACATTTATCTTTTATTTACATCAGATTCGTTTGGTTTATAGGTTATTTAAATTATGAAGTAGGCTTGCTAAACTTGTGGCACAAAAGTGACAAATTTTGGATTGACAAAATGTTTTTAACTAGTAATTTGCAAATAAAATGTAACAAATTTATATTGCTTTGTTTATATGCTTATTTAAGATTTTAGTTTTGCTTTCTGAATTTTGGCAGATAAATTGCCACAAAACTCCAGTAATGTTGTCAAATGCTTGTTTAACACACACAGAGAGAGAGAGAGAAATGCCCCTGCTTAGTCATTGTGAACTTTTGCACACTTATTTGACCAACAGTGATGATAAAGCCAACCGTCATTTACTCTCAGTTCTTAAGCACAACAACACTGCTGTCTTCTTTTCGTAACACAAAACCTTTTTCTAATGGTTGTGACGGGAACGGTTCCAGCTTCATAATCTCTAAACTGCTCTCCATCCTTGCTTTGAATAAACATGARTTCCAGTAAACCCTCTTAGTTAAACACACATTTCACAGGAGCGGAGCTGGCGGGCCACCACAAAAAGACCGTTTCATCACCGAGCCATTTCCTGCCCGTGTTGCTTTTACTCCCTGACCTCCGTCACGGCTCACGAGCCTCACGGTCACATTCGTTCAGTCGGCACAGGGGCGAAACGTCACATCAGCACTACTGAGTCACACAAAGCTATTGTTAGACACCTGTCAGCATAAACCGCAAACACTCTGAAGGGGAGGGGAGTTTCCAGACGGGCGCACAGAAATGTTTCCTTCTAATCGTTTTTCTACTTTTTCAGGTACAATCCAAAGTTAAGGTTTTTAAATTGCATTTCTAGTTCTTATATCTGCGAGTTACTGGATTTAACATAAAATGAGTGTGTGGATTGGAGCTTTGAAAGTAAAACAAAAAGAACAGATCACACTGTGAGGCTGTTTCATACAATATTTGCTTAAAGAAGATTTGCTTAAAGAACAATATTTGCTGGTGAGAAGGTAAATTGCAGGTCTTCTTTGTTGTAAACATCTTTTATACATTTAACGGAAGAACAAAACGGGTGAAAGATCTCATTGAAATATTTTATAGACAGGATGGACACAGTGACCAGTATTTGTCAGAGAATTTCAGGAGCAGACTTGATTCAGCAAACTGTACAAACCCTCCTGATTTGAATTTAAATCCAGTTTTCCATAGATTAAAATTTAAACAATTTTCAGGTTTATTTATTTTGTAGCAAAAACTCAAATAAGACTCAAAAACAAAAATGGTTGCTAAGTTTTTTTTAAACTTATGCACAGGTGAAACAAAACTAACTGATTTGTCATTAATTTATTGGATTAAGTGCACAGTTATTTTGTAGAGTTACAGAAAGTGTTTGTTTGAATACTACATTCATACTTCCTTCTTAAATGTAACATTTAGTTTTTTACTAAAACCGTTTGAATCAGGCATTTATTAGTTAGTACATGATGATATTTCATCCTTTTTTAAAGGTCAAACCTTTTCTGTGCTTCTGTATTTTACTTCATTCATTTTAACAAAGTAAAGCAAATGTTTAAACACAAATGAATCATAATTCCCCACAGTATCATTGTATCCAAACACAATGAGCTCTTTGAAGAAGCTGCGTATTTCAACAACAAAGGATGTTTCTGTTCCCAAACTGCTGACTGTCTCACACACAGTCCCTCTTCTGTGTCCTCTGACTGTTTGAGAGCCTGTGTACGAATCAACTGTATGAAGCACAGAAACASAGGGAAACCAAGGAGGTCCTATAGAACAGCTGGAGCTCAGAAACCAGGTGACCGTGTGATCGGCTGGAGAAGCTAACGGCTAACWCWAAACAGTCAAGAGTCTGGATTTCCCTTTACTGTACATGTTGACAACAGAGCAGAAAAAAAGGACTGACGATG